GATAGAAAACAAAAAAAAATCCAATTTCTATCCTTCCATCACAGAAAACATATTAAATGAAGCTATACAACTGGCACAACGACATGTAAAAATCACGGACGGAGATATAAAAATAACCAAACATTGCCGCAAATCGCTGCTGTTGCACAATAGTGAACCATGGGCAAAGAAACAAAACCACGACCTGTTTGATGTAACAGTGGGTAGCTACAATGGAGCATTTTGCGAATTAGTAGGCATACTGATTCTATCATACCTGGCTAACATCCTGGAGAGAAACGACACTGGATTATACAAAGATGACGGTCTTATCTTAATAAGAGAACCCAATGGCCCCAAATTAGACAACTTTAGGAAGAAAATAGTGAACGCCCTAAAGAAATTGGATTCAAAATAGAGATAAACGCAAGCACAGCAACAGTAAACTTCCTTGACGTCACTCTTAAGCTGAACAACAATACATACGAACCGTACAAAAAAGACAATGATACTTACGTACCACATCCTCCAACCACCCACCTTCAATCATCAAACCATATCAATCAACCGCAGACTATCTGAGAACTTATCTAACATGCACATTTTCAATAACAAAAAAACACCATACAACGAAGCACTAAAAGTAAGTGGATACACAAAACAACTACAATATACAGCCAAAACGCAAAAACAGAAAAAAGAAATATTATCTGGTTTAATTCACCATACAACAAAACCTCCAAAACGAACATAGGCAAGACATTCCTAAACTTAATAGAAAAGCACTTCACTGAAACAAACCGATTAGCAAAAATATTCAACAAAAATAACGTTATAATCAGTTACAGCTGCACAAAAAAAATATAAAAGAAATAATCAAAGGCCACAACAAAAAATGACAACCTACAAAAATGAAACCAAGGATCCAAAATGCAACTGCAGAAATAGAACATGTCCACTCCAGGAAAATTGCTAACATGCAAATACAATATATAAAGCCAATGTAAGCGCAAACAACAGCACAATGTACTACATCGTTAACACTGAGGGTCCATTTAAGTAGTGGAAAAACAACCACAACCTTTCATTCACCAACAGAAAATACTCGAACAACACTACACTATCCACATACAAATGGCAGCAAAAAGACAGAAATATCACACCAACAATAAGCTGGAAAATACTGAAAAAAGCACCTGCCTGCAGCAATATTCCTACTTTGCCTACACGAAAACGTAGCAATAATATCCGATAGCCGCAAAAGAATTCACTAAACAAAAGATCAGAGATAATCTCCAAATGTAGGCATGAGGATAAGTACCTATTATCCGAATTTATACTAAACAGATAAAAAAAAACACACCAACAATCACTTTTTAGTACAAGCTACCATCACAATAATAATATTTATTGTTATTATCATTGCACCACCATTAGTAATCATTTCTACCACTTTACAATACCTTTTAGCTACTAATATTATTATTACCACCAACACCCAACACCATTACTACCACATCCCATCTACTATTAACATATAAATCCACTACAATTATTAATGTAAATTACTCCCCCTCCTCCCAGCATATTTAATACCACCAAATAAAACCAATAAGAACAGAGAAAATTTCCAAATGTAGGCATGAGAATAAATACCTATCATCAGGATTTATATCAAAGGGAAAATAAAAATACAACACCAACAATCACTTTTTAGTTCAAGCTAGCACCACAATAATTACATTTATTGTTATTGTCATTCTCCCACCACCATTACTAATCACTTCTACCAATTTACAATAACTATTAGCTACTTATATTATCATTGCCACCAATCCCCCTACACCATTACTAACTCATCACAGCTACTATTATCATATAAAACCGCTATAATTATTAACGTAAACTACTCCCCCTCTCCCCATCATATTTAATACCACCATAAAAAATAACCAATAAGGATTACAAACTGAAATTTCTGCCAGTTACATATACGCAGTCATCAAAAACAAGCAAATAACCAGCTTTAAAATAATAACAATTTTTACCTATTATAATTTTACACAGACCCCACCACACGTATATACGTGCATGCGATAAAATATTATTTAGCGAGAGAATAGAAAAATTCTCTGATTGCTGACATGTATAGATTCACGAGAAATTTTCACTACACTTCCGATCTTTGAATTTCAACATACAAATGCGTATGTATAGAGACAACACCACCCATATACATACATATGTCAAATTTCATACTATCCACATATGTTTATATATGTATGAACCCCGGCGGACGAGCAAGTGTATATGTGTGTCTGCGTACGGACATGCATCTTTGTTTGCGTTAGCATGAGTGACATCACGATTCCGATACCTCCCATTCCATAATAATACCAATACACGCAATCTACATAAATCCAATTTTTAAAAAAAAATTAATCAGTTTGTCTAACGATCGCAAAAGCGTGAAACCCAGGGTCACAAACTCACATCAATCCGACTAAATATGTTAGCTCTATCTCTGATATTGAGCGCTTTCTAATAAGTACTGCACATATAATATATATATAATAATATATATAATATATTACATATATATATATATATATATTTATGTTTATGTTTATATACATACTATTTTCATATATATATATATATATATAGAGAGAGAGAGAGAGAGAGAAAAGAAAGAGAGAGAGCGTAAAGAGATTATCACTGCAGCCATCGAAACTCTCTCAATATCCATACATAAAAAATAATACTATCCTGTATTAATAAAATTCAGATAATATATAAATGATTAGTCTACAGCCTAAACTCTTCTACAAGACGTTTAACAGGACATTTTTTCGACACATTGGCCTGCTATTTTATGCCAACCTTGAGGGTATTGATTTTGTGAGACATTTTTCTATGGTCTGCTTCATAACGTCATACAGGATATAATCTGTAATGTTCAGGTCCTGTTGACTCGATGAGGTCCGTATCGTTTCACCATTTTAAAACAGCGTCCAAAACCTGAAGATCTCTATACGGAGAATATGTTAATATCGGCCTCATGCATATTTTCAGCATTCTGGCATTTATGGACACCGTGTGTATGTTCATACTGTACAATTTAAGGTTTTTGATCTCCATGCACAGCCACCTATATTTAGACCAGCAACTTCCTTACCCATGGTTGTTGTTGGATCCGTTGCAATTTTTATTTTAAACGGATTACAGAATCTCTTGTTCTACTTCTTTTCAACCGGCCCTTGTCGCTATTTTGTCATTTGGCAACAGTGGCCAAAGACACGCAAAGGACACTAACTAACACTTTTTGCTTTTTTTTTTTCTGAAGGCATACACCACGCTATTACTCAGAAATAGAGAAATAATGTAGAATAGTATTCAAAACATTCATTTTGACAGAGCGAGTAAGTTTTACCTTTTATGCAGTGTCTTTTAGCTAAATAATGCACTATCCAAGGTTTTCAGATCCCCAGCAAGATAGTATAGATTTCTATGTATCGTACTATGACTCATCAATTTACTCACAAGATTACTTCTTCAAAAAATTACCGATCGTATCAATGAAATATTGTGTGAAGAAAACGTTTTGGCAAAACAGGAAAATGTTAGCTTCAAACTAATATAAGATATATCAAGAAAAACACTTGAAATTAATAAATTATATTTTACACAGAGCACTGGCGCCTTAGTTTCTTCAAATCTTTCCTCTGAAAATCTTATGACAATATTTCTCGACAGTAAGACCCCAATGAATAACCATGTGTATTCTATAACCGTCACATTCATTAAGATACAGCGAGTAGGTTTTAACATTTTGTGCAGGGCATTTTTACAAATCATAGCACTATCCATTTTTGTCAGCTCCCCAACAAATGACAGGTGCTATTGCAAATCTTTGCTTACCGTAAAACTAAAATCACATTTCAAACTCTAAGATTAAGTGGAACGTTGAAGCTTGATTTGATGGCGAGCAGGAGAAGGAATTCTGCAGACTTTCATCTGTGGAAATAACATTTTCACGCGGTTCTAAGGAGAAAGATGTGTTGGGGACGAAAGCGTCAGTGCTCTAGGTAAAATAATGTTTGATTTATCTTAAATGGTTGTCTACTTTACGGACTGATTTAATATATATTATGTTGAAGCTGAAATGTTTCCTGTGTTTTGTCAAAAACATTCATTCATATAATCCCGTAATATATCCTATAGTCATTACTTTGCCAGGCTTCTGTGACGTTTGCTTTCAGGTAAATTTTGATTTCCATCATGGAATAACGATTCTGGTTTTCACTCGATTGATTCTCGAAGGAATTTATAATGTCTTAAATTTGTTGGAATCATTGAAAGAGAAAAGAAAAAAAGATAATAGCACGAAATTGTGAAATACAGAGACCTCCCTTTCGAGATTTATATGCATTTCCTCCTCCTTTGTGTTTTTAAGCCTATGTCATGTTGCTAAATCAGCGATTGACTTCCTTGAGCAGAAAATATTCTGTTTTATTTCAACTGCAACATTTAGACGAATAGTAAGTTTGTGAAGTGGCTGATCTCTCAGGAGATTAACCAAAAGATTTATAATGAATTCAACTTAAATCCCATCAAATAAAATTGAAGACAATTTCCCATAGAAGTTTAAACATAAAGTGAAATGTTAAAGGTTTTCCTGCATCTAGTATTTATGATGACATGTTTTTCGAAGCTCCTGGAAATTTAATGTTTTGCCTTTAAAAACTTAAATATGAAGTTTTCTTATTTTTAACACCATTTTAACGTAAATATGATTTTTCTTCTTCTACTTGTTCTTCTTTAATTTATCTGTTTCCCTTTTGATAATCCTGATTGATTAATCAACTTACTTTCTTATCTATATTATTCCGATTTTCCTTAGATTATTCTTATATTCCTTAGATTATTCCTACATTCCATGATTATTCCTATATTCCTTAGATCATTCCTACAATCCTTACATGATTCCTATATCCTTTAATTATTCCTATATTCCTTAGATTATTCCTACCATCCTTACAATATTCCTATATTCCTTAGATTATTCCTACAATCCTTACATAATCGTATATTCCTTAGATTATTCCTACATTCCTTGATTATTTTTATATTCCTTGATTATTCCTACATTCCTTGATTATTCCTATATTCCTTAGATTATTCCTACAAACCTTACATTATTCCTATATTCCTTAGATTATTCCTACATTCCTTTGATTATTCCTACATTACTTAAATTATGCCTATATTCTTTAGATTATTCCTTAGAAAGACTACGATATTAGTTTTAATGGATATATTTCGAAAGAAACAAAAATTCTTGTAAAAACCACATCATTTTTTTCTTAGGAAGACTGCGATATTAGCTGTTGATTTTCGACGGGTTCAGTGAATAAATAACTGAATATACTGATGCACGAACAAATGAATGAACCAATGAATAAAAGTTTGTATGCATATATATATATATATATATATATATATATATATATATATATATATATGCATATATATATATATATATATATATATATATATATATATATATATTTAATGCAAACAAATAAGTTATCAATAATCTCAAATATACTCCGATAAATAATAGCACTGTTTTCTTTAAATTCATCAATATATAAAATATCATTTATTTTTCCAATTTGCAGAAATATTTCACTTAATCTTTTTATCTTAAAAACAGTAAACATTATTTTTTTTTAAATTTCACAGCAATGATACGTTATCCTTCGTCTAAATTCTAAGTGAATATTAACTTTTTAGTGAATCTTAACTTTTTCGTTATTAATTAAATATTTTTGACAATTTCGTTAAAAGGACTAATGATAGTTGTAACAACAATAATATTTTTTAATTAATTAACATTTAACATCCAAACAGATTAACAGGAGCAATAGAAACAACGGTAAGAAAATCACTTTTTTTCATAATTATAAATATATAATGCATTATTTAAATTATAAGTATATAATTTATTATTTATAGAGGATTTGTTTTAGTTAATAGGTGTAGATAGGCTCACCTATCGGCCAGCCTGAACTTCTTCCATCTCTATTAAACAGGAGTCAAGGTTCATCCCTTGTTTCCTATTCAGGATATGGTTTACCGGTTCTCTCTTTTTTTTTCTTCTACCAAGGCCACAGTGATTTAACTGTAATCAGGCTAACTAGTGGCTGTGACTTTCCATTGTGAGGTTACCAGGTTGGCAGTTTGCTGGCTGCTGCTTCTTATTGGTCGTCAGGAGCCCAAACTCTTTGGTAGTGCTTAAAGATGCCGCCCTGATAAACAGTCGCATAGTATCGGAGTATTTTTAATGCCATGTCGCGCATGGGTAGATGTTCCTGCAGTATTTCATGTGGGCAACCCTGAGGCCACACTATGCTCTTTTCTCAGCCATGCTCTGGCTAGTTTGTATAACCATTGACAACAGATAGTGATAATTACGGGGATCTTTTCTCTCTCTCCTCAAAACAAATTTCATGGAAAATACAAAAAAAAAAAAAATACACCATTAAAAAAATCACATACCACCTCATTCGTTCTTTCACTAATATTCGTGTTATCCGTTCCAACTTTTGCAACGTAGAATCTTTCCTCTTGGAACGGTCGCCAGATATCTTTGTCCTCTGGGAAACTAAATAATTCTTCCATTGCTACCATCGAATTCTTGGTTCCAGGCTATCTCCCCCTTTGCCGAAAAGATTCCAGCATTTACACGCATGGCAGTGGTGTTTATATCCGGGATAATCTTCCGATGGACTGGGAATTGTTTTTCGGGGCCCCAGACTACTCCTTTATATGCTTCCGTCTACTAAACTATGTTACTTATTTATTGTTACTTTGCTTGCCTCTCTTCCTAGCATTGCAGTGTATTAGACATAATTGCTGACAGTATAGGAAAGGCATTTTCTCTCCATCCATCTGCGAGCATCTTCGTCTTTGATGACGTTAATATTCACGATCACACATGGCTTAAACATCCTAAAGAGACTGATGTTGCCGGTGTTCAGACATTAATTTTTTCCCTTGCCAAATCCCTTACTCAAATTGTCGACTTCCCTTCTCGTTTCCCTAGCAAAACCGAGAAACATGCTTCTCTACTTGATTTAAATCTTACCTCCATCCCTCGCTCTTGCCGAGCTTCGCGACACTGTCCCCTTGATAATTCTGACGACACTGTGGTAGCCATTGTTATTTCGTTCTAATCTTCTATTAAACAGAAATCCACTATCCATAACACCTCTTTCCGTTACCAGTATGCTGATTGGGACAAATTCTGTGATTTTCTTTGTGACGCCCTTGGACTGACGTTTTTAAATTCCCATTTGAAAATTGCGCCACTGAGGTTTCTTCTTGGGTCAAAGCTGGCATGGACACTTTAATCCCTACTCGTAAATACCAGGTGAAACATCAATACTCTCCATGGTTCACACCAGCATGTTCGACCGCTATGGCACACAGGAACAATTATTTTGGGCTATAGGAGCGTGACTGATCACGTCACATCAGGCGTCTATTCGTTGCTGCCTCGCAATAAATGTAAGCGCTTCCTCGAAGGGGCAAAAGCCCCCTCTTTACCGAGAGAATGAGGCACCACATAGACTCTAACAACTTTGGCTCTCGTGATTACTGATGACTCTTTAATAGGCATTAAATAAGTGTAAGCTCTCAATATCTTCCCTCTTTAAAAGCTATAAGGTGTTATCATCCTTTGCAGATAAAGCTGTATGCTTTGCCCTAAATTCCCCTCAAACTCTATTCTTGACTCATCCAGAATATCCCTCCCTAACTTCTTTTCCTATAACTGAATCCCTGTTGAGTGATATGCGTATAAAGCCTTCCATGGTTTCTGCTATCAACTCTAACCTAGATCCTCATAAAGCATGTGGATCCGATCGTAACCCTGTAATAGTCATTAAGAAATATGCTGCCGAACTGGCTCCTGTTCTCTCTAAACTCTATAATAAATGACTTGCTGCCTCCTGTCTGCTGGAAATCACCGTCTGTGGTTCCAGTGTTTTAGAACACTGGTGAGCCGTCCAACCCTTACAACTATTAGCCTATTAACTTTCTAAAACTTTTTGGGAAACTCCGAGCGGTCCTAATCAATGCTGAATTTTTTTTAATAAAAAATATGGTTTTCATTTCTCCAGCGGCTGATATACTGATGACATTTGCAGAAAGAGTTTATTATGCTCTAGATAAAAACAGCGAAGCCTTGCCTGTTGAATTGGACATGTCAAAAGCCTTGTCTCGATCCTTTCCTATTAACGTCCTTGGTACAACTCTATTTTTAATTTTCATTAATGACCTCAGTGCTTAGCTTCGATTCGACGCTGGGGACACATCAATTTACTCCTGCCTCCAAGGTCAAAATTGCAGCCAAAACGAACTCAAGTCCGTAGTTAACTAGGCCAAAAGTTAGCTTCTTAATTTTAACGTCTTCAAAACTGAATTTCTCTACATTAATCATCTGAGAGTCCCTTGCTTCCATCAGTATGGCTGATGCTATCCTCCAGGAAAGTGACTAGTTGCGTCTTCTCGGGCTCTCATTCTCTGCTGATATGAAGTGGAAAGACTATATTGAATTCATTGCAAGGTCAGCTGCTCTGTCGGATGACACAATTTTTCTCTTCGGAATCTCTCCTATATATATCTATAAGTCGACCTATCGTCCATGCTTAGAATATTGCTGCCACATATGTTCCGCTGCCCCTGCTAAATTATCTTGAGCTCCTTGATATGATCCAAAGAAGAATCTGCATTATTATTGGCTCTGATCCGGCGGCTCAGCTCCAGTCACTCTCCCACCGTCATAAGATTGCCTTTCTATGTCTTTCTATAAATACTTTCACGGTAACCGTTCGAATGACCTATTCGCTATGTTACCAACATTTTTTAAATTGAAGCGCAACGCTAGACTGACCTCGAGATTTCATCAATATACACTAAAGCTGATTAGATGTAGCCGTAAATTCTATGCTAACAGCTTCTTCTTTCTCTCTTTCCCTTTGTGTAACTCCCTTCTGATTTCATGCTTTCCAGGCAACTTTAATCTGCAAAAATTAAATGCAATGTCAATCGCTATCTACTGTCCACCTGATTAGAAATAAAAGTATCTCCATTAAACATAAAACATTTAAACTTTACTGAAACCAAAAAATTCTTATCTGAGTTTCTGACCTTGGTGATATAGTGAGTTCAATCCCTGGTCTGGGTAGTGCAAACTTAGATTCAGTGGAAAGGTTCTGAGCAATAACTATGCAGTACTAAATACGAACTTGAATGTGATTCGGCAGAACGTGAACAATTTATCCCCTTAGATTAAATAAAATGTTCAGTTGAAATTTAGGTTGAAGTTTAACAGGATCAACAACCAACTGAACGAAACGTTGTGATGATATCAACAACAAAGGTGAGGACAATAGTCCGAATGCGAATGAGACAATAAAGCGTTTGACAGTATGACAATGACAAACCTTTTTTTGCAGAGAAAAAACACTTCCAGAAAAAATAATAAATAGTATTGGAAGTTTTTCATATTCATCCACCTGACGCAATTTTTTTAGTTTTATTTAAATTACAAGAATTTTTTTTTCTCCTGGACACCCGGAAATAAGATAGCTATCAGTTCACGTTTCGCAGACATCTTTTCATTAAAAAGCTAAAAATTGTGTCGGTGTCAAACGAGGAAATTGATCTTGCCTTTAAACTATAATAATTGTTGATGGTAGCGAGTATGTCATTGATTAATGTCATTTTCGAAATTACACATATATCTTTGAAGATATTCGCAAATAGAGTAATATAAAAGTTATAATTAAAACATTTGCACATTTGCTATAGATTTAATATTGGAGGCGTGATATGTCAATAACTAAGGAAAAGTCAACCAACTATTAATGGCTTTTGGATGCAAAGAAAAATTACTGTATTAAATGTTGATAAAAATTCTATTTTGGCGGGGGGGGGCATTAATGTGTTAATTGTTTAATCATTTCTTGTAATCGAAGTGCGTAACGGTAAATCAACATACATCGTTCAAATCTTCATGCAGTCTGTTTAATTCAATTCCCAAATATGCCATTCGAAAAGGCATTATTATATCCCGATCTTCAATAG